GGCTGGAATCGACATTCCCTCAAAGGGGGGAATGCCATTCTGTCAGGAATGGGAATCTGAATTCCATTCCATTCTGCCCAAACCAAACGGCTAGAACTAACTGTCAATCCAAGCCCAACCCTAAAATTTGGGTTTAAGGCCCAAGCTCGGACCAAGCCCGATCTTCCCAACCCGAGTTTAACCTGCACTATAATTTGATGCACTTGGGTTGGGTTCGGGCTCAGGCCAGGTTCGGGTTGGTCAATGAACCTGCTCTAAATTGTATATGTATATATGCATTTATGTAAATATGTATATATATATATATATATATATATTATTTATTTATTTATTTACATACAAATGTATGTATGAATATGTATAGTTGGACCAGGTTTGAGCTACCTAAGGGCTAGGCCTAGGCCCAGCCCAAAAAATAAACAAAGCTCGACTTCTTGGGCCTGAACAGAGCCTGATGACCGAAAATCAAAGCTCAGCATATATAAAATTTCGGGCTTAGTCAGTATAGACTCAGGCTAGGCCCACCCAAGTTGCACCCCTATTCCCAAAAACCGAATGGACCCTTAGATTTGTTTTCTAACTTTGAGAATGATGATCCAATAAATTCTTGAAATATGTAATGGAGAAATCTATAGGATACCCATTAAGAGGACAAGGAGAAGACTTTTAAGAGGCTACCAAGATGTGTGGTGCATATGCAAGGGAAAGACTGTCCTCTTAATTTCATGATTTGGGCTTGTATGCTTCCTGGTCAACCCTAATATATTAAAAGTATTAACTTTTTCTTTTGGGTACAAATGATATTAACTTCCTCTATCATATCATTTCTTCTTCTTCTTCTTATTAAAACACATGCAAATTATGTCGTGAATGATTCAACTGGATTCTTAATTAAATCGAAATATCTAAATTTGCCGCATACTTCAGAGGTTTTATTTTTCCATAAGGCTCAGTTTGGAAGAAGTACAAATACAAAATTGTAGAGTGCAAAACCTTACATTTTCTATTATTTTGTATGTATTCCTATTGTACATATTTGCATTTGCATTCTTTCCAAGGCTCAGTTTGGAAATAAAGAGTACAAATACAAATTTATAGAGCGCAAAACCTTATTTTTTTATATTATTTTGCATGTATTTACACTGTACATATTTGTATTTGTACTTCTTCCAAACTGAGCCTAAAGTAATCGGCATCATATCATTTTCAGTTGCTTATTATAACTGTTTTCACATCCAGGCTGTTTAAAGTATCAAAGTTGACACATATCAGACTGGATAACTTATTAATTAACTCTTAATACTACTGTAATTCTATTAATTTATACCATTTACCATATAATGAGATAGTTAAAGTTGTTAAATAAATTAATAATTGAAATTTAAAACCATGGCTGACACTGTAATTCCATTTACTGCCAACCATAGTTGTTGAGGGAATTACTAAGCCAACTTATAATTAGTTCAAATCTCCTCCACTCAACCCATGCATCTCATACAGTTGATCTGGAATTAATGATGTCATTAATTACTGTGATAGATAAGCCAAATGGGACCCATGTTTTCCAGATCAACAGTAGGGATGCAATGGTGTGGAGGCAAGATGCATGCGTGCACCTGGTTGTTGCCTTAGTGTCTTCCTAGTTGTTGCAGATTTTATTACAGCCATTATTGCTGTCATCCTCCTCATCATCATTACCTTTTGATGGTGATATTTGCTGGTGTGCTGCTGTTGATGATAATAGGGGAGAGTGACAAAGAAACAAACAAATTTCATAAACTTCTGAATATGAAGGAATTGAACACATAAAGATACACACCATGAAGGCGAAATACACTACTTATGAGTAGATTGGACATGATGTCTAATGAACAGCATACCAATCGATTTCCTAATATATGCTTAATTACTAGATAAACTTGATTCTCACTGTCAGTGGTCAATTGGCCAATGTGGACACAGAGATGCAGCTGTAGCTAAAACACTATTAAACCATGCTAGAGGTACTCTGCTTATTGCAACCTAATGGCTCAATTTGGAAGGAGTACAAATGCAAATATTTAGAGTGCAAAACCTTGCATTTTGTATTATTCTGTATGTATAAATTTGCACTATATATATATTTGTATTTATACTCTTTACTGAGCCAATAGGACAAACTTGCATCGTTTGTGAGCTAGCTAGCTTGGTTAATTTCCTTAGGTGGGGGACCCTCGCTCATCTCTCATCCTTTTGGTGGTAGAGAGGCCATTAATTAGTTTTGTGCATCTATGAGCCTCCTTGGCGCGCTTTATAGCTAGTACTGCTATATACCTTACCACAACTATATAAAGCTCCACCCACTACCCTAACCTTCAGTACCAGATGAGTGTGTGAGTGGAGAGTTCTTAGGTTAGGGGAAGAATTGTCCTAGAATTTGCTCACAGCAAACTTCCATGGATTTCCATTCTGTTATCGTTGCTTCCCTGTTAGTAGGGCTAGCAGCACCGTTGTGCAGCCTTGTCCCTCAGGCTGAAGCCCGTGCATTCTTCGTTTTTGGTGATTCGCTTGTAGACAATGGAAACAACAATTACCTGGCCACTTCTGCTCGGGCTGACTCATATCCTTATGGCATCGACTACCCATCTCATCGAGCTACTGGCCGATTCTCTAATGGCTTTAACATCCCAGACCTTATCAGTTAGGCTAGCTAGCTCCTTTGATTCTTCTGTATATATAGCATCTCAATGCTTTAATTTGTCTTAGCTAGCTAGGAATTGAAACTAATTAAACTCGGCATTTTTTATGTTGTATCAGGTCAGGCCATCGGTGAAGAGTCCACACTACCCTACTTGAGCCCAGAGCTCACAGGACAAAGATTACTTAACGGTGCCAACTTCGCTTCTGCTGGAGTGGGAGTTCTCAATGACACCGGAATCCAATTTGTAAGCGCCACCCACATTTCATCTCGACTTCTTGCCGCCATTTCATTCTGAGAATTAAGTTCAGCTCACTGACCTGTCGAAGTTGTACAAATGCAGCTTAACATCATAAGAATCTTCAAACAATTGGAGTACTTCCAGCAATACCAGCAACGGGTAAGTGCGTTAATTGGAGAAGAACAGACTCAGCAGCTTGTGAACCGGGCGCTGGTCCTCATCACTCTCGGCGGCAATGACTTCGTTAACAACTACTACTTGATTCCCTTCTCGGCAAGATCTCGGCAGTTCTCTCTCCCAGACTATGTTCGCTACGTAATCTCTGAGTACAAGAAAATTTTAATGGTATAATTCTTGCTCTTTTTCTTGTACTACTCCTTGTATTGTATAGTATGCATACACAGTCCGAGCTCCACACTAGACTTAATTAGCCATTTCATGAAGCCATGGTGGCCTGGTGGGTGGCTTGGCTCAATGCGCTTCACCCCGTCAACCTGCTCCCTGGAAAACCTAAACAGTGAAGCACAGTGAACGGGGTGCGTACGTATCAGACTATCACCATAGAGAGAGAGAGAGTTAATAGGAGATACGGTTGGTTGGTGAGGTGAGGAAAGCAAACTTAGCATCTGGTTTCTGCATGCACAATTAAAGCGTACGTAGCCAACTACCATGCATTTATAAAAGGGACGGAAGCCCGTGTAAGTTACACCCAAACAGACCCTTTCACAGCTAACCTCATAAAAGCTGAAAAATAAAACGATGTGCTTTGCCATTTTTTTCTGAGAAAATTCAAAATTCTCTCTCTCCCTCTCAATGTTAAATGTGGGTCTGGATGTGGTAGGCACGGACAATGAGTGAATAGGTAATAGCTGTATGAGATATGGTTTACTTAATGCAATTTTCATCCCAATGTTTTTGCTCAGTTAGAAAGAAATTATTTATTATTTTATTATTTTTGTTAAAATAATTAAAAATAAAAACAATAAAAAAGAAAAACCTAAATGTATTGGGAGTTGAGACTCATTTACGTTTTCATTTTTCATTGTTTTTTATTTTTAATTATTTTGACAAAGATAATAAAATAATGGATAATTTCTATCTAACCAAGCAAAAAAGTTTTGATGAAAGGCGCATTAAGTAGGCCATGTGTCACACAGCTATTACTAGACTTGTTCATGGGCCGGGCCGGACCGGGCTCGGGCCAGGCTTTCACTCTGTATTAACAGATTTTTTTAAGGCCCAAACCCGATCTCGGCCCGACCATCGGGCCTATAACTTGGGCCCAATCCCGGCCCTCATAAAAAGCCCGAGCCTGGGCCCAAGCCCGAAATTTAGCCCATACTATTACTATTACTACTGCTGAAGCGGCTGAATAGAGAGAGAGAGAGAGAGAGAGAGAAATTATAAAGAAAAGAATAAAAAATATATATATTAAATTATAAAATATATTTTAATAAATATTATATTATTTATATATTTTATATAATATGTAAAATAAATATTATATATTTTATAAAATATATAATGCTGAGTTGGGCCGGGCCGGGCTTTTTTGACAAATCCCGAGCCCGGCCCGAAACACAATCGGGCTTACTATGTTAGGCCCGAGGTCAGGCCCACGGGCACAATTACATGACCAAGCCCGACCGGGGTGCAGACCGGGCCGGGCCGGGCCATCAGGCTACCCAGCCCATGAACAAGTCTAGCTATTACATGCTCACTCATTGTGATTACCTAACTGTGCTTAATTTGTGAATTACATAAACTTTTACTTTTGTATGTATTGCAGAGGGTCTATGAACTAGGAGCTCGAAGGGTTCTTGTGACTGGAACTGGGCCTTTGGGCTGTGTTCCAGCAGAGCTAGCCTTGCATAGTGTGAATGGTGAATGTGCCATTGAGCTGCAAAGAGCTGCTGCCCTGTTTAACCCTCAACTTGCTCAGACAATAAACGAACTCAACAGCGAAATCGGTTCAGATGTCTTCGTTGCTGCCAACACAAACCGAATGACCATGGATTTCGTCAGTAATCCTCAAGCTTATGGTACGTTGAACATGGTTAATTAATTCTTAAAATTTCTAGACTCCCTTTGATGAGAAGAGTACAAATACATATATGTTCAGTGCAAATACAGATGCTATAGTACTGGAGATATATTTGTATTTGCACTCTTCCCAAATGGAGCCTTCGTAAATAAACATGATTTAGACCTACCAGCAAACACTAACTTATAAATGGGATGAATTTTTTCTAATAAATGCCAGAGACAAGCTTGTACCTTGTACAATAGTTTTATATATATAAATTAATGTAGCTAGCTGGTCATGCATGGTCTGTGATTTCTACCACCCAAGCTGATCAACACAGATTGGGTTCGGCCCTCCTGCTGCCAAACCCAAATTAAAAGTATGGTCAGTATAAAATCATTTACAGAAATTGCTTTCAGAGCAACAAAAAGCAAAGCAAAATTCTTGCTTCTTTTAATTCTTGAGTACCAACCACTCGTCTTAATTCATCGATCACAAGCATCATATCTTTCAGCGCAACATGATTTTTATGTTTGTTTTCTATGAGTGAATCAGGTTTTGTTACATCTAAGATCGCATGTTGTGGACAAGGGCCTTACAATGGGATAGGACTCTGCACGTCTGCATCAAACCTGTGTCCCAACAGAGATGTCTATGCATTTTGGGATCCTTTCCATCCAAGTGAACGAGCTAACCGGATTATAGTCCAACAGATCCTGGCGGGTTCAAATGACTACATGCACCCAATGAATCTAAGCACCATAATGGCTGTGGACGCCTGGATGAAGACCTAATTAATTAATGACCAGCCCTTTGAAATTTTTTACATATTAATGTTTCCTTTAGACTCCATTACTATTGTTCATATGGTGCTTTTGTGCTTGCAAGTTAATTAATCTCTTGCATGCCTTAGTCCCTCAGTAGGATGCATTGATCTGCTCGAGAATAGAGTTCTAGGTGTAGTTTCAATTACATTTGTGTTTGGATATGTCTTTGTCCATTGAAAATTTTTAGCCTGGTTGTGTTTTGAATGTGTCAGTATGGATCATATAAGATTTTGTGGTAATATATCAGTGAAGCATTATATGTCAAATTCAATGATTTATTATGGAGAATTCATATTTGCAATAAGGCTGCTTCTATTGTGGTCAACAACTTTTAACAAGACACTGTTGGGATAATTAAGCTTTTGCTTTGAGCTTTTTAGGCTGTAAATTGAGCCAAAAAAAAGTGATTTAAACGTTTGGTAGAAGTTGCTTTTAAAAACAGAGAAAATCTGAAGCCAAAAACTTTCAAGCCCCAAATCACAAGCCTGATATTTGGGTTTAATTTGTGCTTTTGGACTTTGAAAGAACAAAACCATAAGCATATCTTTTTTTTGCCCTAAAATTTACTCCCGATGGAGGGGTGCCCACTGAAACTTTATTGATATGCAGAAAACCTTGAAGGGGGGGACATGAAGCCTTACCCCTCGTTCTATACAAAGGAAGGCTGGCTCATATAAACATAAAGTGTTTAAGCAACCTAAAATTAACGAATTCTCAAAAAAGGAAGACCTAGACCATCTGCTGTAATCAAGTTCTATACGTGTGAAAGAAGAGTATCTGTGCAATCATAAACAGTTTTCTGAGACGCTAAGCAGCCAAGCTTCGCAAGAGCATCTGCCGAATGGTTAGCCTTTCTGTAAATATGAATACAAAAGAAATCAAATCTATTTCTAAGTTCTTGTACCTGAGACAACCAAAACCAAAGTTTCCAAGGAGTTGTACAAGTGCCATTGAGAATATCATAAAGAAGTTTGGAGTCTGATTCCACCATAATCTTATCTAAATTAAGTGCAACTGCCAGGTGTAAGCCATCCAATAAAGTCATAGACTCTGCAACTAAATTGGAGTCCAAACCATAAGTGTTAGAGAAAGCACTAATAAAACCATTTCTTCCATCTCTGATGATACTCCCTCCACCGCATGGGCCAGGATTTCCTCTAGAAGAACCATCAACATTCAATTTAAAGTATCCATCTAGAACCGCCAATAAATGCACCACCTTGATGTACCTGCTCTTAATTAGGTGAATCTGCAACCCCAAACCCTATAAGGAGAGTTGTTAAGTAAAACTCACCTTATGGGTGAGATTTGGAGGAAATGAGACCTCATGAATCCATCACACTATCACCCAAATCACCATATTAGAGCATCTAAATTTGTTTTCCATTATGTGCCTATCACCCAAATCACCATATTAGAGCATCTAAATTTGTTTTCCATTATGTGCCTGTTTCTTTCTTTCCAAATTTCCCAAACTACAAAACAAGCAATCAGCCCTACTGTAACAACCCATTGGTTTTTTTTTTTCTGAATATGCTAAAAACCAAACAGAGAAAAGCTCCTTACCTAAACAATCTGCTAAAGAAAAGCCAAACTTTTCGAACTATGCAGCTATGCACTAACAAATGGTTGATATTTTCCTCTGAGTGATCACAACAACAGACACATGTATACAAAAGGGACCCCCAACTCCTTTATATCAGAGTCCAACCCTACCTTCCCCACCATAAGTTTCTAGACAAAGAAGCTTATCTTGGTGGGCACTAAAGCATTCCAAACTACCTTGTACCATTCCACCATAGGATGAGAAGTCCTATAAAAGGACCATCCATGGTCCAATTATCAAAACAGAAGCTGATTTCTCCCCTTTCCACTAACCACCTCGATAGAAGGACTAAGTCACCTCTTAGTGCATGTTCACTTTCTAGGTACGAGAAGTATAGATAGGAGGGATGGCTATATTAGAAATGATCATGCTTCAGCACCTTGGCTCTAAAAAATTCARCCCACAAAGAGTTTTGAAAAAGCATTCACCACAAAGCTTTCAACCTGAGGGCTTTTTGGACATTAAATAAACTTTTAATTTGCAGCCCACCTTCAGAAAAAGGTCTCACAATTTTCCTCCAAGTGATCCAATGGTGATGATTACCTGTATTCGAATTAGACCAAAGAAATCCTTTCATCAACTGTTCTAGGCACTTGATAACCTTCTTGGGAGTTGTAACTACCGACATCAAGAATATCGGAATACTGCTCAAGACATGTCTAATTAAGACCAACTTACCTCCAGCTAAAATCACTTTCCCTTTCCAGCCCAAAATTTTTGCTGCCACTTTCTGCACAACCCCATCAAAGGCTTTTACTTTCACACGGCCTTACCAATTGGGATACCAAGGTAGGTGAAGGGAAGAGGCTTATGCAAGTAGCCCGTGGCTGCAGCTATGATTTGGATTCTGCTGCGAAAGGCTTTTGTTGAAATGAAAAAGCAACTCTTCGCCTTGTTCACCAATTGACCCGAACATTGTTCGTACCTTTGGATTATTGACATTACTTTCTCTAACACTTGCTTGGACCTTCTTGTGAAGATGATGGTGTCATCATCATAGAGACTGTGGGTTATAGGAGGACATTCCCTATAGGCCACATAAACATTTGTAGGATACTTTTCACCTAACTTGGACAAGTTTCTACTGAGTACCTCTTCTGCAATGATAAACAAATAAGGCAAGAGTAGATCCCCTTGCCACAAACCTCTAGTGGACTGAAAATATCCCGTGACTCCTCCATTCCAAAGAACTGATAACCAACAATTCACAACCATTTTTCTAATCAGCTCAATCCAAGCTTCACTGAAATTGAATCGTCTCAAGACATTGAAGAGAAAGTCCCAATTCAGTCGGTCGTGAGATTTAGCCATATCCAGTTTAAGCACTACATCCCCCCCCAACCTTCCTTTCAATATCTATGACCATTTCCTGCACCAAAGCTACATTATCCATAATATTTCGCCCCTGAATGAAAGCACCCTGCTCTTGTGAAATTATCTTAGGTAAAATGCCGGCTAGTCTCTTAGTAAAGATTTTAGCAATAATTTTGTAGCAAAAATTACCTAAGTTGATACGGAAATGTGTGAAGCTTTCAGGAACCTTGCATTTTGGTATCAAATAAATAAAGGAAAAAGTATAACTCACCGGAAACTGGCCACTACTAAAGAAGAATTGGACAGTCTCTACCACATCCGCTCCAACAATATCCCAACACGAGACAAAAAAAATGTCCTGTGAAACCATCCGGCCTTGGTGCACTGTCTCTATCCATGGCATGAACCACCTCTTGAATTTCTATCTTAGAAGGAACGACCAAAAGATAGTCATTGTCTTCCTGATTAACCACACACGGAATGACTTCCAGCAAATCCTCATCACCAACAGCCCCTTCCTCTGAAAGAACACTACAAAAATAGCTTATTGCACCTTGTTTCAACTCCTCTGGATCATAAATTCAATCACCTATAGAATTTTTGATTTTGCAGATTCTGCTTCGCATTCAATTCAGCTTAACAGAGAGATGAAAAAATTTTGAGTTTCTATCCCCCTCTTTCAACCATTTAATTCTAGATTTCTGCCTCTAGAAAATTTCCTCCTATTTGTGAACTTCATGATATTTCTTCCTCTCCTCTCTTAACTTCGTAAAGCTAGCAGCAGAGTTCATCTATAAATGATTCATTTCAACATGTTGAACCCTGTCTTCTGCCTCCTTGACAGCCAGATGAACATTCCCAAAGACCTCCCAATTCCATTGCTTGAATTTACTCCTTAATTTATGTAGTTTGAGAAATAAACTCACCAATGGATTGGTGTGAACCTCCTCAGTCCAATAATCCCTAACAACCGTGTGAAAAGAGTGATGAGAGAGCCACATCTGCTGGAATCTGAAAGGTTTGGGACCTGTCTGTCTTTCCTCCTCAACAGAAAAAACCAGAGGGCAGTGGTCTGAATAGGTGCAATTAAGATGTGTCACAGGCTTCAAAAGGAAGGATTGCGCCTAGCTAGAATTAACTAGAACACAATCTAGACGAGCCCAAACACAATCTAAGCCTTCTCTAATATTGCACCATGTGAATATGCTTCCAGAGAAACCCAAATCAACCAGGCCTATGGCATTTATCAAATAAACAAAATCCTCCATTGCAAATACGTCAGGATTTCTTCCCCCCACTTTTTCCTCTCTACAAGTGATCACATTAAAATCTCAAGCTAGCAACCAGGGTTCAGAAATACCAGAGGCTAAGTTCCAAATTCTATCCCAAAGAGACATTCTTTCCAGCCAATCACATTTGCCATAAACCACAGAAAGCACAAAACTCTCATTGGCAGTGGTGGTGACTTTCATAGTTAGGATTTGATCACAGTCCTCAGTCAACAGTATAGAGAAAAGGCTTCCAAAATAAAACAATTTTACTACTGATATTAACCATAAAACCTATCATGTTGAGTCTCCTGGAAATCTGGGAAAGTTTATCATCCCCAATCATGGGTTCAGATACTGTTACTACACCTAACTTATGCAGTTTGCAAAGTTTTTTTCAAACGAGTGATAGAGGGATCATTTGCAATCCATCTAATATTCTAGAATAGACCATTCATTGAGAACATCTAGAAGTAGTCATACCTTGGCTAGTCTACAATCTGGTAACTAGTTTGTTCTCACTTTGTACATATTTTTTGCGAGGCCTTTTCTTGCGAACCACTTGTGTCTAGTTTGCTTCCACCTCTAACCAGGCTTCGTCCTCAAATAAGGCGTAGGAGGAACCTTGAGCTCTTTCAGTAATTTTGCGAGCAGCTCTGCATCAAAATTGATGATTGTGTTGTACCCCCTACGAGAAAGTCTCTTGTCCAATTCCAACTTGGATTTTGGCAGCTCCTCAAAACTCCAGACCCTATCAGGTTTCCTAGACGAAAAGGAGATCGTCTCCAGACTGATTGGCCGAACATGCTTCAAACTAATGTCATCTTTGGAAGCAAAGGATTTCCGCACCCCCTCTGTAGGTAATATCATCTGTTTTGGAATTTCAGGTCGTTGAGTCTAGATCTCTTCTATATTTGTATTTTCTATCACTTCAACTTCTGGGACCGTTGTTGGGGTTCTTCAAACCTCCTGGTAAACCTGCTTCACAGTTTGTTTTTTCCTGGGTGCTTGTTCAAGTTCAACAGGCTTTTGAGCTGAAGTGGATTTAGACTTGGCTACTTCTCCCTCAGATTTCAAAATTCTCTTCAGTTTCTATTTGC